TGTCCAAAGGTAACAAAACCCACCCACCAGCAGCAAAAGTATAAACCCTTTAGTCTCTGCTGGTTGCCTGGCAACCTCACAGGAGCGACAAAACTCAAGAAAGTCTCATTAAACTCTTGGCAAGAAAAAAAAAAGTTTTTCTTCAAACAGAAAAAATGGAATCGCTATGTTTTGAGTTGTATGTGAAGGCGGAGGCCTGAAACAGTCCCGCTGCAGAAGAGTTTTCAGTGTTTCAAATTTGTTTTTTACTCACATCGTACGCCAGGCTGTCGGCCTCGTTGGCAACTGTCAGTCCGGCTAGTTCTCCCAGTCCAAGCTCATTAGAAACCGCCTCGTCCACTCTGCCCAGGATGAAAGACTTCCCAGAGGACGGCAGGAATGTCATCGCCTCTACGGAGACAAAAACAGGCAGCTGGTTTCAGAAAAATCCACCTGTGGATCCATGTTTAGTGAACTAGTGACTAGTGAACTGAAGAGGAGGGCAGGTTACCGTCTTCAGAGCGCCCCACTTCGTGCTCATTGAGTCTGGGTACACTGGGGCGGGAGGGGGGCGTCACGGGAGGCTGCATGGAGGGAAGCTCCTCAGCATCACGTAGGTTAGCCAGCATGTCCTGGAGCTTAGACCGGTTTGGTCCTGAGGAGGAGGTGGAGAAGATCGGAATCACAGGAGGAAACAGAAACATGGAGTCCAAAAAAGGCAGGAGGGAAAGGGACAATGTAAAAGGAAAGGAGTTTAGGAGAGAGAGATGGAAAACAGACATTAGCAAGACAAAAGAAGTCTCCATAGAAGAGGTCATATTGTGAGAAGAGAAGAGAATTAAATCAGTGTGAAGGATGCAGCAGCAGCTCTGCAGAGGCCGAACAGAAAAGGTTAAGGAAAAATAAAACCAGACAAACAATAAGTACGAATAAATCTCTGCATGAGAGGAAGCTGGAATGAAACAGATGAAATGTGGCAGCTTCTGTTTATCATCAACACAAAGACATGAAGAAACAAACAGGAATATAAAGCATGCACTGATATTATTATGACTCATCTGTGTCATTATGGCGGCAGCAGAATCCACTTAAAGCTAGAATCTCTAACATCTCATTAAACTGTGTATAAACTCTAGAGCTACGTTCTATATGTAGTTGATTCAATCAATAATCTATAATCAATGGCGTCATATCCCCTTTGTGCCTGCGTCAGCGTTGTGGTTGTCTGTCAGAAGCTGTCATACATTGACTGTTTATCCATCTGAAGCCACATTATTTCACATCACTGTTTAGGAATCTGTCTGCTTACCCCCACCTCATCACATCTTCTCCTTTTGGTTATTTTTAATGTGAGAAACCCCCTAAGTGCAAAAATGTCATCCTGTACCTTTAAAGTAAAGCATATGCTGCTGTTTTTTTACCACAGGATAGTGGGGAGAGGAGAATTGAATTTCCAACACGCAAAGAAAAGTTTAAAGCCAGATGAGAGAATTCAGGAAATAGGATTAAGGCGACATAAATAAAAAAAAATGAAGTAGAAAGAGAACACGAAAGTTAATGAAACGAGGACAAACAACAGACTAAGGCAAGATGAGTCCACCGCAAGTTTCAGTCCTGACAACCTCTAACCCTTCTCCTGAACAGAACAGACCAAGCGAAGAGGACAGCTCAAAACAGACCCAGGTCGTGGTATATAGAAACTGAGCCCTGCAGCTCTTAAAGCGACCCAGACGAGACACGGAAAACCTTGCAAGCTGTGCAACTGTCCTGAAACCAGTTCACCACCATTTCACACTACACGAGAGATGTAGATCTGTTTTAAAATATGAGTGAATAGCGTGATAGAGAGAGCTTGCCCTGCGTTATGCTCGCCCACCTTGGTGCAAAAGCATTCCTCTATCGTCCCAATTTAAACATAAAATAAAGAAAACTGTTTAAGCTATTAGGAACCTAAATAATCAATCACAGACACAATCTGCTCACATTGACCAACATCATTAACTACCCTGGAAGAAGAGTGACAAAGATGACAGATAGAAAGTTAAATCATTGTCTGATAGTAAAAGCACGCACACTGG